AAAAGAAGAAGAATGAAAAGAAGAAGAAGAAGAATGAAGAAGAAGAATGAAAAAAGAAGAAGAAGAATGAAAAGAAGAATGAAGAAGAAGAAGAAGAAGAAGAATGAAAAAGAAGAATGAAAAGAAGAAGAATTCCAGTACAGCAAAAAGTGTATCTGCAGAGAGGACACTTTTGCCGGCTGATCAGGAAAAATTCGATTCGTGCACCCGAAGTTTGCTAAAATTCGGATTCGATGCGAATCGAATTTTTCCTGATATTCGAAACTAATTCCACTTCGCCAGGTTCGATTTGCTCATCTCTAGTTGTCAGCCATGCCTGCTTCATTATAGATTACAAACACAACCCTGTTCTTATCTCCCTCCCCCTCCTCTTCATTATTATTATTATACAGGATTTATACAGCGCCAACAGTTTACGCAGTGCTTTACAATATAAGGGCAGACAGTACAATGACAATACAAATTAATACAGGAGGATTCAGAGGGCCCTGCTCGTTAGAGCTTACAATCTAATTTATAACCCCTCCTTGAGCACAGGCAGAAAGCACAATAAGTTAGCAGCTCACAAGATTTCTGGCATTTTCAGCAGGTATTTTTCCAACTGATCAAATAGATATAACAAAAAACAATGGTATATTTTGCAGACCAAAATGGAGTGAATAGGAGAAGTTCATTGATACGCTTTAAACTAGGGTTGCACTGATACTGATACTAAGCATTTGCAGGAGCACTTATACTCATGCAAATGCTCAGATACCTGAAACCCATACCTTTGTGGTGCGATTTGAGCACATACAAAATGAATGGGCTCAAATCGCACTGCAAAGAATCACATGTGATTTGAACAGGAATGCGTTATGCGTTACGATTTCTGTCCGCATCTCATGCGGTTTCCCTGTGGGTGTGGTGATATTTGCAATGTGATTTGAGCCATTCATTTTGTACGGGCTCAAATCACTCCACAAAAGTATTGGTAATCTGTATCAGCGAGTACTTTAGTACAAGTATTGGTAGCTTGAAGGAAGGCCTTAACTGTCACACATGGGTATGAATGCATCAGGGTCCTGTAGTAGGAACTATAGACAGGAGCAGACTGACCATTTCAGCACTTGGGCACTGCCCCAGGGCCCAGGGTCAGTAGGGGCCCCATGAGATGCCCTTTCATAGGCTGTTTGGAGTGTGGTTTGAGTGCCCCTGGTACTTTTCATAGGCTTTTTTGAGTTTGGGCAAGGACACAGGGGCCCCATAATCCCCTATTGCCCGGATACTCCATGAGTTGCCAGTCCACCCCTGACTATAGGTTTATATGGAGTTGGTTGCCATAGTGCTTTTTCTATTAATTTAATTTATTCTGTAAGTCCACAGACAGCAGTATTCTAAAAACGTATGGGCTGTTATGAGTAAGGTCAACCACAGATGGGCAGACTTCTCTGCAAGAATAAAGGACAATGAGACATAGTCCTATCAACTGTAGTACTGACTTAAACTAACTTAACTGGATGCATGGTTTTTATGAGGATGACTCTGAAATTTTTGAAGTCATAGTCAAGCAAGCAACATTTGTAATAGCAATGGTAACCTAAATATCCCTTTCAGAATAGAGATCCTTTAAGAGGCATGCACATCTGCAAATATTCAGCCTACAATCACTCCAGATGCTGTGATTTTAAAGCTTGTTAATGTATACATTTTTGATACATTTAACAGTTGTTTTTATGTTTTTAAAAGGCAGACATTCTATGCACTTGAATTGTAAAATATAGGTCAATAAAGTCAAACTGCATCTCTGTTATTTTTAGTACAATTTAAAGTAGAACTATAGGCAAACCTTTTTAAAAAATTTTTGGATAGAGTAAGGGAAGGTTATAACCCCTGTCAGATTTTTTTTTTTTCGCCATCTGTGTCCCATAGCCAAACAGGAAGTGAGAAATTAAGGGAATTCCTTGGGGACCCCCAGGTAACCAGAATTAGTATCCCCATTGGAAGGTGTCCCCTCTATTACTTTTTGGGGGACAACCCAAAAGGTGGGACTTTCCTTTATTTTCAATGCTAATGGTAAAAAGGACAACTAGAGAGGGTGAATCTCCCTAATGGGGACACAGACAGCAATAAAACCTGACAGGTGTTCTAATCCCTCTCCACTCTATCCAATAATTAAAAAAAAAGTTTTGCCTTTAGTTATACTAATGCAACATAGCTTGCGAATTGGGCTCATAAATATTGATTTTTAACCTAAACTTCATTTTCCAGCACTCAAAAGCAACAGAAAGAGATTGTGATATTAATAGGTCTATATAGCATGTTCATACAAACTGCCTCAACACAGAAGTGGTATTAAAGTATAACAATGCTGCAAGAAATTGGAAGCTGCCATTACAAATAATCTTCTGCAAATGCTTAGTGCCTGTCTCTCTGTATCTTCAGACCTTTATGAGTCACTGACCTGGAACAAGCATAGAGCTAATGAAGTTGGAAGGAAGTCAGAAGTCCTTATCTGCCTACTTGTTCCAGGTCAGTGACTTAGAAAGTATTGAAGCCTACTGAACGTAGGCAAATGGTATTTTCAAAGGGAGAATTCGACATTGGTCTTTATATTATCTTAGCACAGGTTTCCTTCCAGGATACTTTAAAACATCAGGAAACAGGGATTAATAATTTGCAGTGATAACCATATACATTAATCTTGTAATTCCAAACCCATAAACCCTTCTGTCATATTAGTTTTCAAAGTTTTTCAGCGGCAGCATTTTACTTGTGGAGTCATCATGCAGTAGCCCATATGCTATTACCAGGTCTCATTAAAAAAGGATAGTTTTATAAAACTGTCTGTCTTGTATTACTATAATACATATTTTCAGTGTGACTTAATACATAATAAAGGCATTAGGACTTCATTAGGAAAATACAATATATTCTGTACTATACCATAGCAAACAGTTAGCAGTCATGTCTTAGACTGGGGTGAAGAGGAGACCCCCAATGAATTCCATAACCTGAAGTGTTAGCTTTCACCTGAATGTGCCTTTTGAAAATTTTTTGTAAATCTCAGGACTGGATGGACAGAAAAGCAAATCTTTTGGTCAGGTAAAACAGCTCTCTTATATGTATTTCAATTATACCCTGTTACCCAGAACAAGTATGCAGCTGAGGACTGAGGACTTATGACTATGACTTTGGTCGGAAACTCAAAGTATTGAAGCCAATGTGTAACATATATATACAAATGGTAGAGACTCAGTACAGTATGGCAACGACCATGGTAGGATGATTTTCAGTTCCTGAAATTGGTGGAACTAATGGAAAGGGAGTGGCATGGTTTGCCTTGGCTTTAACTCTAAATCAAGCCATATTCTTTATTCTCTCAGGGTGGCTTTCTCTTTTTTTTTGCCTTGACATGTATTTGAGTTGCTTTGATTTGCTTCTGAGTTGTATGTGACCGTATGAGTTAGTTTAACCTGCTTTAAATTGCTTTGAGGTGTTATCAGATGCTTTTACAACTGAATTGGTTCATAGGGAAGAAAATCTCTTTGTACACAGACAAGTGTCTCTGTCCACAAGCTCTGTCTGGAGGTATTGTTAATTATTTGATCTAAAGCACAATTGTAATACCTGAAATGCCTTCATATTTATTATCATTAAAAGTGTTTCCTGCAGTAAAATTAAAACCAATTAAATTTTTCTTGTACACAGAATCAGCTGACTTAACACTGACCTCCAACAATGTAGTTCTTTATTTTCATGTACTTAGTCCTCCCAAAATAATGAACTTGAATGTGTAACAATTACAATTGTACAAAACAATTAAAGAAAGTACCTCAATTATTTCAAAATGAGATTACAAAAAAAAAAAAAAGAAAATTAAATCTGGTCCCTCAAAAGTGAAAGGAAAAAAAATAAAATACACATATTTAAACAGAAATTGAACACTTCATTTTACAAATAGGATTAACAGGAACATAACAACTCACAAGCTTGCAGACAAACAGCATAAAATAACAGGTACAATTTTAATCGGAGGAATCATGCGCTCATGGAAGAAATTAAAACAATTTGTACAAGAGAACAAAAAACAATTGCATTACAAAAAATTAAGTTGCATCTATTTTTCATCTCAGAACAAAGGAAATGGTAAAAAAAACTGAAACACAATAAGCACATACATACAGAATTTTTTTTCCAGACACTGGAAAATCTGTGAGTGCCTCTGACAACATAACAAGTATAACAGTGCTATCTTATGTTGACCAAAAATCATAAGTCGAAAAAAGAAGAAATAAATACAAGTACATGGGTAAAAAGTCAAAACACTGACTGACAATGATTGTCTAAAATTAAAAAGGTTAAAACAATGATTTGGCAAACATTGAACGGTACGATATATTAGTGGTATCAATGGTGAAAATGACCCTTAATAACTTGAGCTCTCTTTGAGTACTGAACATTGTAAAATTCACAATATACACATAATTTCTTTTCCCCCCACAAAGTAATTAAGACATAATTAAGGAAAGAACAAATTATTCCCTGTTATTTTTCTACATTAAGTGATAATGTACATTTGTAAATATCTACTTCTGTTTAAATACATGAAGCTTGTGTAATAGAAACTGTCTGTGTTGAAGCGACTTTTTATGTCACACTTGTAGTAAAGTAGTGTGTATAAAAAAAGATTCTGATTTTCTTTTTCCTTTTTTTTTGAGTGCTTGTAAATGTGTTAGGATAACACAAAAATGATCTGGAAGACTCAGCGTCCACCAAAGTCCATTAACTTCATAGTCCACCTTTTTTTTTTTTTTGCTCTGGAAATCAGCAGCTGCCTTTGCTGTGCAAAACAAAACAATGAGAATAAATAGTTTTTTTTAATTAAGGTCACCAGACTTTAAGATGACCCTGCAGGTAATAAGGCATCCTGCTCCTCAGTCTTTTTCTTCCTAAACTCTTCCACATGGAAGAGACATGCTAGATGTTGGACTTGGCCCCAAAGAGGTACCATCACTATGTCATACATGACTAATAGAGTGTAAAGCAGTGGATTCGGCAGCTGCCCTTGCCATGTTGTGCCACATACTAGGGGAATTGTGGGTTGCGCTATGCAGTGGTTCCTGGTCTGATAATGACAGCATCATAGCATATGCCTAAAAGAAAAACAGAACAGAACATTACACACATTGTAAAATAACGTTGTTTAGTGCAATTACATACAGAACCTATCACAATTTCCACACGTGTTGTAGTTTAAAGATTTGGTAAATGTGAATGCTGGAAAATTAGATAAACAAAACTATGAGAATGTTTGTGCAAGAGGTATCATGAGGATGCCATGTACCCAGGGATGTCATTATCACTGGGCACCAGAAGCATGTGTTTGCATTTCCTGATAGGTGTTCCAGGTCTTGATACTCTGACCACTCACCACTGCAGCAGCCAGTATCACTCCACATGTGCTGCCTGCCAGGACAAAAGTATTCAGATGCAAGGGCTCCTCCTTGGCTCTAATGTGCCACATGTCAAGGGGGAACTTGGGAGGAATCTCCTTGCTTGTCATGCATAGTCTGAGGCTTCGTAAATTCAGGTGGGGGCAACAATTACCGGAAAGGTGAGGAATGAAGCTTCGTGCTGGCAGGAGAGATTTGGAAAGATGAAGATTTGTGCTAGGAGGAGAGATTTTGGGGGGAACGGTGTATGTAGATTTGTACTTGAAGGAGAGAGGTTTTGGGTAGGGTGAAGGGAGAGGGGAAGGGGGAATTTGTGCTTGGAGAGGGGATTTTAGCAAAGGTAGGAGTTCTGTAATGGGAGGGGATAATTGTTACATTTTTACTTAAGAAGAATGTTGACTTGCAGAGGAAAGTTGTGGTTGTGTGTGTGTGTGTTGCATACCCCTGAGCCATATATCGTGTGTCTTTTGTACTTCTGACCCATGCATTCTGTGTGTTACTAACCCTTGACTCTGCATTCTGTATGTTACACACCACTGACCCTATGTGTCCTTTGTGTCATATATTCAACAGTACTTCACGCTGTACATAAACACCCCTGCAACCTGTGCATTACATACTCCTGACCCCTGCGCTCTGTACATTATGTGCCCATGACCTCCAAACACTGTGTGTTACACACTCCTAAAACCTGCACTCTGTTTTATACACTCCTATCCCCTGCACAAGGTGCATCACATACCCCTGCATTTTGTGCATTATATACTTCTAACTTGACTTTGGCACTGCAACTTAAGGTGCAGTGTGCAAAAAAAAGCCTGACATAGTCAATTTGGTAGTTTTGCAGGCTTGCTGGTACCTGTGCTGGGAAATCTTTTGTTTGTGATGCACTCTGTACATTACCTACTCTTCACTTTTGCACACTTTGCATTACACACCCTAGCGTACTATGTCATAGACTCCTGCAGTATATACACTATATTCTACATTACATACTTATAACACTTCACAGTTGCTTGTTGCTAAGAAGTCCCTGACAATTTAATGGGGATCTGGACAAAATGTTAGCTATGTGTCTAATTTCATTATACACAAAAGCATATGTAATGGAAACATTTCATTTTTAAAAAAATTATTTTGCTAAAATTGATTTCGCTGCGGTTTTATACATGTCTGTGAGACTCTGGCTTGTGGCACAGCAATTAAAGAATATGTTATGGGTACAAGGAAGCTCATGTTTTATTTAACTATGCCCCTTTAAGCTCTTCCCATTCACAATTTGGCTTTGTGCACATTAAATTAATCTTTTTGGAGCCCCCCCAAGGTGCCCCAAGTATTTTGCAATCCTAGCAATGCCCCTGCTTGCACTGTTTCCAGCTCAGGTTATATTGGTGCACAACATGGTATAAACAAAACATTTCCTAATTGTAGAGAGGGTCTTTCATTTGTATATTTGTTATTCTACAGCTAAGGACATTATGTCTGAAACATGTAAGCACCTATTATTTTAATATGACTGAATAAATTATTTGAATTGATGAAGGTTGCCTGTGGGGACTCAGGTCTTTTAAACTGTAGATCCTTAAACGTATGACAAAGCATAATGGGGTTGATTTACTAAAACTGGAGAGTACAAAATCTGTGCATGGGAGCCAATCAGCTCCTAACTTTAGCTTGTTCAATTAAAAAAAAATGGAAGCTGATCGGTTTCTATGAACAGCTGCACCAGAGTTTTAGTAAATCAACCCCAATGTGCTGCTCATGTGCACTATGAAGAAAAAGTTATGAAAAAATATGGGGTTATGTAATGTAATCACTTTAAATCATTTTAATTGTACCTTTATTTCATTTACAGACAGGAACAGTTCAACTAAAATGCTGAAAAAGCTATTTTATTATAAGATACTGTGTATTGTCACTCATATTTATGTGTTGTACTTACAATTTTATTGTTTTGTTTGCTTATTTATTTCTTCATTTGTTTATTTTAATTAAGCTGATGGTACCTTTTGAACTGCAAAAATAGTAGCTCTTTGGTAACTCAGTGCCAGTTTCCAGTTCCCTCCAATACACTAAGTATGATCCTCTCTAGCTAAAGATAATTGTAGTAAAGATAATGATCATTCTCAATGTCGTATTATGAAACTTAAGGCGGTTAGAATTTCTACCTGTTCAGCAAGGACCAGCTGTGATTCTAGCTATGTATGGGCAGGTTGAATGTACCCAAGCTGATCGATCAACTTGAGTACAACTAGCCTGTCAGATTTTACACGTGATTATTGCTAGCGGCTATTATAGCCCATATCAGTAATTACTGTGTTCTCCCAGCAGGGATGGATCCCCCCCCCACACCCCCCACCAAGAGAACACAATGGCTCCGCAGGAAGGATTTTCCAATCAACACAGTCAGGTCAAAAGGTGGTCAACTGCAGGTCAGTTTCAGCTGTCAATGAAATCTGAAAGATCTCAGAAGCATCTAAAAACTGATTTCAAATTGATGCCATTGACATAAGCCCTGAATGTCTTCTGGCTTTTCAAAGTCAGAACTGTCCTTAAATATGATGTTTTTCTCCTAAATGGTAAACTTGAAAACTAGAGATGGACTTTACAATCTTTAAGAAATCGTAAAATAGTTTACCTGGGATTTGGATTTTCTATAAAGTGGCTGTTTTAATTCTTCTGCCAATTGTGAAGCAGTGAAAGCAGCGAGATCATCATCATTATATTGACTGTCATCCATTTTTCTCATCTTAAGACTATCTGTGAAGTGCCGTATGTGGTCCAGAGCTGACAGACCAGTTTTGAAATCTTCATCATCATACCTGCAAAACAAAGGGGACCAGCTAAACATCTTTAGTCCTGGATAAAAAAAAACATTTACAAAACAAAGTATTCCAATAAGGGAAAAAAGATTTAGGGTGGCTTTACACCAATAGTACGGTAAAAATGTGCATAATAACCACCTCAATACCAGGCACTTTCACCCCCTTCCTGCCCAGGCCAATTTTTCAGCTTTCAGCGCTGTTACACTTTGAATCATAATTTCTCAGCCATGCAACACTGTACTAAAATGAAATTGTTATAATTTTTTTAGACAGAGCTTTCTTTTGGTGGTATTTAATTTCCTCTGTTTTTTGTTTTTTTTTTTTGCGCTATAAATGAAAAAAGACTTCAAATTTTGAAAAAAAAGCATGTTCTTCTTAGTTTCTATTATACAATTTTGCAAATAAGAATTTTTCTTCATAAATTGTAATCAAAATTTATACTACTACATTTGTTTTGGTAAAAATAACCCAAATCTGTGTATAATATTTGATCTGTGTGAAATTTATAGAGTCTACAAGCTATGGTTACAATCATTGAAAATTGATCACACCTTATCACACCTGCTGTACTGACGGCCTATCTCATTTCCTGAGGCCCTAACATGCAAAGAAAATACAAATACCTCCCAAATGACCCCCTTTTTTTTTTACCCCTGAGGTATTTAGTATGAGGCATAATGAGTTTTTTGAAGTTGTAATTTTTTCCACAATTCTTTGGAAAATTAGTTTTTTTTCCACAAAAATGTCATATTAACAAATTATTTCTCACACATGGAATAGACATGCTTGCAACTACAGCTTCAAAACACATTCTGCTACTCCTCCTGAGTTTGGCGATACCACATGTGTGAGAATTTTTCACAGCCTAGCTACAAAGAGAGGCCCAACATCCAAGGAGGACCTTCAGGCGTTGTCCACTTTAAGACCAGGCCAACTTCTGACACTTTTTGTTTACAAGTAAAAATCAGTATTTTGCTGGAACTTAGAACCCCCAACTGCTTTAATTTTTTTTTATTTTATTGGTGGAACACTGGTACACTGACAAATGTTTTTGTGAACTGGTACACTGTGACAGATGTTGATGTGACACTTGTATACTGTGACAGATGTTGACTGGACACTAGTACACTGTGACAGATGTTTTATGCACTGGTAAACTGGTACAGATGTTGATGTGACACTGGTACAGGTGTTGCTGTGACACTGGTACAGATGTTGCTATGACACTTGGACAGGGACAGATGGTGCTTGGTGTACTGTGTGTGGATGGCTGCAATCTGTGTTTTCTCTGCATAGCTGAACACTAAACTTATTGGCTATGCAGAGAGCTATCACAGGCATCAGCATCCCCTCTCCTTCCAATCACAATGTCAATGTCCCGATCTGTGATGTGCTGCTGTGTCCGAGGGATAAGCCATTGCAGGTTCATGCTGCTGCATTGCCATAAGACCTTGCAAGGTGCACATTCTGACAGGACATTCAGGATCGACCACTCAGACAGGGAGAGCTCCCACCCGGCCGTTTATGTGTAGTGGCTGGGTGGAAAGTGGTTAAAATGCGTTACCACAATGCACAGTAACACAATGCACCTTATATACTGCTATTTTAGAACAAATACAGTAGGTGATGAAGCAGCGCACTACAACACACACATCATGTTAAAAAAAAGGTGCATGTCCAGTTTTTTGTCTGCTATTATGTGTTAGTAGGCAATTCCAAATGACACAGCAAAGGAGATCATATGAAAATACAGCACCTTAACATGTGTGTGATAATGCACTGCAACACACCATAAAGGTGTGAAGGGTCCATAAAACAATACCAAAATCTTAGCAATGCTAATCAATTACTTGCAGTATAGGTGCAGTCATTACATATATGAGCTCTGCTACCTGATAAACAGTGTTACACAATGGTTGTGTTTTACTGCTCCTTGGTACAATGCAAGTGTATAAGTTGGCAAACTCCATGAAAATAAAGCACCCTTTGAAGCAGATGTCTTATCTCAACATGTATTAGAAAAATGTTAGGGTAATTGCACTGAGCCAGTCAGAGCTCCCCCAAGTTGCTAGTCTACAAATGTATATTTGTAAAATATCAAACAAAATGGGAAATCTTGTAAAAATAATAAACTTACATAAAAATAACAAGTTACGTGCTAACAGAAAACACTACACTTCCCTTGTAGCAATTACTGAAATTCAGCATCCCTGTGCAGGGTGGTTTCTTGACTATTCAGGACCTTAGAACTTGGTGTATGTTAAGATACGGTATTGGAATACACTTAGTTTTTCAGCCTACTTAATAGCAAATTTATTCTGTCTCTCCCAGAGTCCCATAGCTAGCAGAGTACTAAACATATTTGTAAAGCATATACTGTGCTTTACCAATGTGCATGAGGTTTTTTTTTCAATGGATCCTTAAGCCTGGTACACACGGGCAGTTTTTTTTTTTACAACTGAGGAGATAGCGAGGAGCACACTGTAGAAACTCTGCAATTTTAGTACAGCAATCTCTCAGCTGAGCTATTCATTAGAGTGCATAAACCTACCAAATTATGTACCAAATTATGTAGATGCATAATCATAATATTGAAATATTGTTCTGACATTGGGACCTCCCCCTCCTCCCCGCCAGAAAATACTGATCAGCACTCACAATCATTGTCTGCGAGCACTGATCAGATGCCGATTGGCTTCTATTTTCCAGCATATCTGTTCTGACAGGGGGACCGCCCCTCCTCCCTGCAAGATTACACTGATCAGCATTTACAGCCATTGGCTGTGAGCACTGATCGGATGCCGATTGGATGCTCCTTTTCCAGCATGCCCGTTTAACAGAAGCCAGATGTTCAGCCAGCTTCTGTTGGACAGGCTGTTGTACACACAGGCCAAATGTTGTCCAGTTTATTTTAAACTGGCCAATACTGCCTGATATTTGGCCCCTGTGTTTTCCTGGCTTTAGTTAAACACACATAGGGTGGGAAGTGCAAATAGGAGAGAACTCAGGTAAACAAAATGAACCAACCTGTTGGGGGTGACTTTGCAGTTTAAGGCAGCCTTACTCTCTTCCTCAAAGTCATTGTCACGGCAGTTTTCAAGCAAACTTGAATTTGGTTCCTTCAGTGATTTCTCTGTAGGGTCATTCTCCTCCTCATCTTCATCCAGAATAGTGTCATCCTCTATCTCATCATCATCCAAGATATCAGAATTCTGACCAGTCAGCATAATTTTATCATGACTCCCATTCATCCTAGATGAAAAAAAATATCATTAAGGTACATAAAAACCTGAACAGACAGGCTTTGAGTTTTCTACATAACTGTGCTAAAACATTTTATGTTTCACCCTTTCCATCCATTTAATCTCAGTGCTGCTGATTTCCTGCATCCTTTTTTGCAGTCTTGTCCTTTCTACATGCACAGAGTCTAGCAACTGCTGCACATAATTTCTTAGGTCAGGTTGCACTAGTGAATCATGTCTGTACTATGTGTGACAGCACTGCCATGTGTAGTCTTTACTGGAATAGCATGTGACAGGGTGCCAACACACCTGAGGGTCTCCTAAAAAGTTTAACATGGTGCTAAAGGCTGAAGGATTTTTACTTTCATCCATTGAATGCATGAGGGTATAAAACCTTCTGTGTGCAGTTCCACCCTCCAGCCTCTAATACTTACCTGAGGCCGATCTTAATCCAGCAATGTGCACAAGAGCAGAGGCTCTCCCAGCTCTCTCCCTCCAAATTGGCACAGAGACAGCAATGAGAGCCAATGATTACCATGTGATCATGTGTCTATGAACACACAGAATGGGTTTCAGGAATGAGCATGCTATGGGAGCACTTAACAGGGGAGAGGAGCCATGAGCGCCTGCGGGGGAACCAAGAAGAGGATTGTCAGGGCTGCCCTGTGCTAAATCATTGCACAGAGCAGGTAGGTATAACATGTTTATGATTTTTAAAAATACCTTTAGTATCACTTTAAGGAATGGCAACAACTCATCACACTTGCTAAATGAGTCCGTAACCCTACCAAATTATGTACATGAATAATTGCTCCTGACAATGCAGGAGTACAATTGAAGGACAGGGACAGAGCATTGTCACCCTATAACAGGAAATGCCTGAGCAAGGGCTTTCATAGCAGGATGACTGGACATTATTTGATTAGAAAGGTGCATAATTAAAAATACTGAACATAAAAATTTTAAAATTAATTTAACATGCTAAAGCTTCTATAAGATTTCAGTCTGGTCTGAACCAGCAAGCGTGTAAAAAAAAGCTCTAGTCTTTCCTTTAGAAAGCTATTTTTCCTTCTGGCTGGATGGTCTTTTTTATGTGTCTGGGAATGGGAACCAATATCATAATTTTGTTTTTATGGGTAAAAAAGTTATCATTGCATTATACACTGAGATCTCCAGCTCTTAAGCTGTACCCTGTTTTTCAAATATCAGCTACCAAATAACCTGTCTTCAGAAAATCACTAACTTCATTTTAGCAACATCTAAGCAGTTTATATATAATTCTCCCTTACACCATTGTTAAAGTCAATTAGTAGTTTCTAAGATTCCTTCCCAACTATACGACAGAACAGTTTTATAGCTACTATATAAGGGGCTTTTTTTCTTAGAAAATAACCTGTCTGCTAAATCATCTGTAGCCACATTGGAAATGATTCAGTAATTCTCCAAATTATCTTGTACACTTCCCAGACAATGGGTTTCCTCTGTATATTAAGACTTGACTATTCAGGGCTCTGTTTTTCTTTGACATCCCTCTCTTCTTGAATACGTCTCCCCCACCAGGATACATGAAAAGTCAACACTGTTAAAAAGGGATCAATGTAAAAAGTCAGGAAATGATTTATTTAAAACTGAAGGGCTGAATAAGCAATGAATCCATCGGCCTCAAAACAGGATAATTACTGGCAAGTTCAAAACACATGGTGACTACCTCTATCTTTTATCTGAGTATAATGATTGTGCATTTGGACCACCAGCAGGAACTGGAAAAAAATAGTAGGTGGCATTGCCAAAATAATGGTGCTAGTTATGCTACATCACATTTCTCATGGATGAATGTTTCATGAACTGGACCCAAAGAAAGGAAAGCTTTATGATTGAATAAACAGATTTGCTAATTACGTCTCCAAGTTCAGTAATTTGCCAGGGATAAAATATCCATCAAGCACAGTCAGAATGCTGAATTCTGAAAAGGAAACACTGGCTGACCCTATGACCCTCCCTTCTTATTAACTTCCTGTTTAGGGACATGTTGTGGCCAGATGTTTAATGCAAGTCACCAATCAAAAGACAAAGGAAATATGATTAAAAAAATACATTCAGACTTTTTCACCACAATGAATTACTTAAAAATGTGGTCATTATTTTTTATATTAGGTTCCATGTATTTTTAGATGCTATTGACTTTCTTTTTTCTTTCATGAACAAGGCTGACATGTTTTGTGCATCATATAATAATTATCTCTACTAATAATAATACATTGTTTTCATGTGCTTACAAATCAAAAGACACCAATGTATGTGCTAAACTCGTTATTCCTTATTTGTATTTTTTATTTGCTCTATCTGTTGAAGTCTTTGCATCCATCTATATTCTCAAAAAATCAATAAGGTGCCCATCATTCCATTCTCACAAGAAATAATATACTACTGGCCATAGGATGACTATTGGAGTGTATGCATGACAAACTATAAAACCACAATAACATGACTTTTTGGTTGATGTTCCACTGTTTTCACAGATCACAACACATGACACTAATATTTTAACAAAAATGGATGTTATGTCTCATATATAATTCCACATGTTTGAATTTAGCAATCCATTGGTCTATCACTGTTTGAAAGCGATTTTATCTTGCTGTTCAACAGCAATGTTCATGAATTTGTTTTAAATTAGATTTTTTTTATTACAATTATTTACATGGTAATTACATGTGGCTAAAGGCTAATTATACAAACTATTATATTACAGTATATTCTTACCTGTCTTCTGAGTTCAAAGGTGACTGCTTGCTTTGGCTGCTGTTGCCAATAAAATTTCGAATTTCTGTAAAATAAGAATCTTCCTTGTCTTCCAGAATGGCTCCTGTGCCTTCAGACTCTGAATGAGGGGAAGATGCAGCTGTACCTATGGAGGAAATAAAAAAGGTCAATTCTCATACTCCCACAGTGCAGTAACACATACTGTGCATTGTGTCGACAAAGGCTGAGCCGAGTCTTCAGGCATGGGAGGTTTGGGAAAAACACCATTTACACAAAAAAGTGTCTAGGGTCAATGAGTAGAAAAGATGAAATCCATGTGTACACTCAACTTCCTATTGTCTAAAAAACAGACTCCCTCCTGCAGCCAGACGAATCATACAATAAATATAGCAACACCGCGGTCTCACAACCACACACATGTATGAAGTGTAGGGTCTTATATGTCTTTCAAACAGTTTTTACTATAAAAGGGGATCAGCAAACACAGCTTGGCCTTTGCTTTATGTTCATTTACAGTAATACTTGCCTCTGACAGCCCATTTTTCATTTTTATTTTCTCAGTCACATTAGAAGCATAAAGCACTAAATGAATACTCTTATGACACTCATCACAGATTAAATATGGCATACCAGAGAGGTTTCCATTCTCATGCTTCTTTAGATGTCGATCTAGGTTAGTTTGCTGACCAAAGCATCTATCACACAAGTGGCACTTGAATGGCTTCTCCTTGTTGTGAATGTTGCGGACATGCCGTTGGAGATTGGAGGAGATACTGAAAGACCGGTCACAGTATTTACATCTAGAACCAGGAGACAGACAGAGGTTAGTGAGCAATGTTTAACGCAAGACACATCACAGCAGGTTAGATCAAACAGAACCTTGCTTGTTTTTTTTGTGTTAATCCAACTTTGCAGATTGGACTCTGATGTGTTTTTATGCTAGTACAGCACTCCAGAGAAGAGGATATAGAAAGCATTACCTGTCTCAGGCACTGACATTCTTTCATTGTTAAGATTATATTAAAGAGAGAGCTTCAAATATGTAAGTGGGCACAAAATAAAATACTAAGTGAAAATGAAAGGCAGGGTTGATTGGTTGCAACAGATGAAAAAGGCTCCGCTTCAATAAAAAAAAGTGCAAGATTTAAAGAAAAACAAACATACATACTCACCCATGTAGCTGCAGCATCAGTCTAATGCTGACCAAGAACTGAGCAATCACATGACCACTGATCGCTCAGTTCTCAGTCTTCACTGAGCACAGAGTGGTGACTGTCAGTCATTGGCTCTCTGCTCTTCCTCTCCAGCTCCCACTGGAATGCAGGGCTGTGAAGGGGGAGTGGCTGGCTCAAGCTCTCAGCAGAGCACTGAGAGGCTGAGTCAGCTACCAGTCAGGCATCTGGATGGATCCCACAATTATAGCTGAGATCCCTCCAGAGCCTGGACTGGCTCTATGATGTCAGCCTCTTGGCTTTAGCCTGCTGTCGGCTGAATATGGTGCACGAGTGTAGAAATAAGTGTACTCATGTGACTTAGAAGAGAAGTATGGCCAACACAGCTTTGGCCTTACTTCTCTTTTAAGATATTTTTATAAATGGGTAGAGGGATCTAACTCTGCAACGTTTCCTAAATGTAACATTTAATATTTTCAATCTTTATTTGTATGAAAATATAATCAAATAATCCTTTCAATGTTCATTAATGTTTTCAATAACTTTGTTTCTATATATAGTCTCTAATTTTATATGTGCCCGGGGTTGCCATATATGATCATTACATGTTTAGGTTCTGCTTTCTTCTATACAGTGCTACATATTAGTCCTGCTTTACTGTTCATTGTTTCAGAGTAAATCTATGACCCAGACAACTCCCTGAAAACAATGCACTGCCTGTGGGGCTAAGTTTTTATATAGGTGGGTCAAATACAGAACTTCCTCAATTGGTTATTTCATAAAATATCTTTGATACAAATAAAATTTACTTTAAAGTGTAAACCTGCTCATATTTTTAGCTTTGGATAAAGTAAAAACTGGCACCTTCCTAATTAACATATTAAGAGAGCAAATGATAAAGGATTTACCCAGATGCCACGACACAATATTGCAAGTACATTCAAATTGTATTTAGTTTTATCAAAAAGATAAAATGCATCAGCATTAAATAATTATAAGCTTCTTGAAAAAAACATACATGACCTTTCCTTCCAACTTATATGTTTAGATATATCCGCATGGAATATAAAAACGTAACATGAAAAAATGATTCTATCATGAGCCCCATTGCAACCTACAGTCAGCTTTATTCAAAAAAAGTGACTATATGCTATTGCTTAAACATTTCTAGAAGCCTCTTTGCAAATTAAATAAAAAGCTTAAATGAAAAACAAAACAATGTATTTTCCTCATAGTTCAAGGGGACTTGTATCTGATAGAACAGATTAACTTGTTTGTAGAGATAGATAAAATCATTGCATGACAGATACATGAAATGATGAAATGGATATGAAGAAAGGACTGTAATACAATCCATACAGAACTCAGTAATTGGACTCAAGTAATATTTTTTAGATATAGAATGGCCAGTCAAATAATTTAGAAAAGGGGCTCCCACAGCATAGAATGTGTCTGTCTAATATCAAAATGACCATAAGTTTCCATAGGTCAGTCATGCTAGCATCCCGAATAGCAAGTGGATCACACTGTTCCAACATACAGTATGCTTGAAACAACTCCATGGGTATAATTGTAATAATATTGTACACCCCTATGCATGAAGACTATCAGATACAAAAGATTGTTCCTGGCTATCTCATATGGCCATACAGTAATGCACATTGTAATCTGTACAGATAGCACCAAGTGTGCTTACACAACAAATGGCATATAATGCTCCAGTCAAGTGCAACTCATATAGCACCCTTAAATAAAGGGCTAGTTACTGAAGTGAAAGTTGGTTAGACAGTCATACAAGCATGGTAGCTCAGTTAATCTACCCAAAATGCCAGCATAAACAGGATACTTAACAACATCTTATGTTGGGCTGTGCAAGCAAGGCCAATGTAAAGAAAGAGATAGTGGTTGAACAATATCCATGGCTCAAAGTAAGGGTCATGCAAAGATGTTCAACAGCATGTATCTGACATGTTTTTTCATAACGGTATCATCAGAGGAGCATTTGTCAACTAGATGGGATACAGAACTAAAAAGCCAAAAAAGGGGGTTGGGTTGGTAGATTTCCTCTAACATCCTGTTGCATCTCAGCAGCAGGTAGTAAATAGAGATTTGCTAATGGTACGCAGAAAGCAAAAAAAATAAAACACAGGGTTTTTAACCCTTCCCTACACTATGATCAACTAGTTTTGGTTATACACATATTTTAAGGCAAATGCTGCAAAAAATCACATTGCGTCTGCTACAACCAAAAATATTCAGATGTCAACTGGAAAAAAAAAATCTAATAATGTGGATCCAGCTGCTGATTATGGGCAACATAGAAAGTCACCAAACATCTACGCTCAAAACACTGACATTGCCACATTCAAACAGGTTTGAATATACAGAGATTATCATTGATCAGCTTACAACAAATAGTGCAACATAAGAGGTTGACATACTATCAAGAATAAAACGGCAAGCAAATAGACTCTCACTCTCTACTGCCACACTACACAAGTTACCTTATTTAAAGAGACCCTTATGTGAAAATGCAAAATCACGTATATATATATATATATATATATATATATATATATATATATGATTTTGCGCACCTGTGCCGCCCTGTAGCAGTATTTCTGCTATAGGGCGGTCGGGAAGCGGTTAATGTACACATATCCAGTAAGCAGAAAGAAACTCCCTTGTTATTTATACCTTTTTCAATAGTGATTTTATTGTAATTATAGGATATCGGTTGTTAGGAAAATAGCTTGTATGGTAAGATATTGCAGTGTGCTAGTACTGGCAAAGATGATTTGAATTGTAAACTGAATACCATGTGTTACAGGAATAATTTAGCAATAGATGATGGTAAAGATTTCAACATGAACACTGATTCACCAATCCTCTTTCATTACCAAGCTTCTCAAAAACTTATTATAGTTTTAGTCATTGCAGTTAATCTGAAGGGATATACAGCCAACACCAGCTGCTAGTAAAAACAACATATAGTCATAACCAGCGGCCACTCTGTTTTAGGTGTGTTGAGGAATTGGAATCAGGTGACCTATGGATAAACATTGAAAAAGAGGTTTATGTTTTTTTAGGTTGGTTTAAATAAGGTCTGCTGATTTCAATTGTTTCTTAAAGGGGACTATAATGTTACCAGGTCACTTTATTTTAATGTTTATCATTTTGTAAGCATAAGCTTGATTCCTTATTTTTTGTTTTATGAATATAAATGTAATATAGGGTGCACCAATGACTCAGAATTCACCAAGCATTATGGGTTTTCTAAAGACAGAGAACAGAAGCAGTTAAAGTTCATAGTTTCTGACCTTTATTCATCCAGCTGGCATATGGCATAGCAAATAGCACCAAAATGATCTACAGTAACAATGGTTGGCAGGCCACTTCAGCCTGTCACTTTAAGGTTTTTTTTAATGCTATAGCAGCTTACTAAATTAGGGCTTCTGTGTCTCATAAATCACTGCTTTAACATTTTCTCTTGTGTGTGCAAATCACGGTTTCAGCTATTGAGCTTTTGAGCTCTGTAAGCAACAGTTTTTTTTAGCATAGCAGATAAATATAACTTGGAAACCTATGAAAAGGAGCTCTGGCTAAAGGGAACACAAAACATTTATATATGCATTTTTTACATTACCTACCAAAAAAACATATTTCTAAAAAAAATATTTTTAACTTTGGCCATAGTAAGTGAAGAAAAACCATACAGTACATACAAAACCTTTATAGATACCAATTAAAGGATAAGTCTACATGAAATTTGTTTTTTTTTTTTTATTATAAAGCTGTTCATACACCAAGCTCTGAAAGCAACAATATTGTGGGTGAATAACTTTAAGTAGGTTAGGGGTTTATTTGAACAGCAATAACAAAACTGATAAAATCTGAAATATTTCATACCGGTAAGGCTGTTCTCCTGTGTGAGTCCGTAGATGCCGCGTTAGATTTGCAGATCTTGGGAAAATCTTCCCACAGTACCTAAGTAAATAGATAAGAAATTCACTTTCCTACAAAAGAACATTACACTGTTTTATTACTTGCTTGACCCCCACAGAGTTAATCCAGAACTAAAATGTCAATGAAAGAATGCATCTCACACAAAGGACTCCACAAATCATTATTTTCACTTAATCATTTTATCATTTACTCTGTCAATATCTGTATGTTCTTCCCCAATGTACATTCTAAGTTATAATAGTATTGATATCTTCACTGTTCTCTACAGAAGGTGTAAGCCATAGGAGGGAAGCTGTCATTCTCAGTGTTTTCCACTATTGTGGAGATTTCACAAACATGTTTGTGTTTCTGCACTACAGAGGTCTTCATCTTTTCTCTAAGCCAGTGATCTCCAAACTGAGGCCTGGACACAGCACTTTGCTTGCCTTTATCCAGCCTTTGGGGCACTGTTCCTTCAACTGATATGAGGTACTATATTTCCCACTGACAACAAAAATGATGCACCATTCCTTCCATTGATACCACTGATGAGGCACTATCCTTCCACTGAAACCAATGATAAGGCAAAGTTCCTTCCAATGACAACAATGGTGGGGCACTATTCTTCCTACAGACGTCAATGATATGGCAGTATTCCTTCCATGGACACCAATGATGGGGCACTATTCTTTCCATTGGTACCAACAATGGGGCATAACTCCTTCCACTGACATAATGAATGGGCACTATTCCTCCCAATGTCACCAATGATTGGACACTACTCCTCACACTGACACCAACTATTGGGCACTATTCCTTTCACGGACACCAACGATGGGGCACTATTGTTTTCATTGGCACCAAAGATGGGGCATAGCTCCTTCCACTGACATAATGAATGGGCACTATTCCTCCCAGTGACACCAATGATGGGACACTATACCTTCCGCTGACACCAATGACGAGACACTATTCTTTCAATTGGCACCAACGATGAGGCATAACTCCCTCCACTGACATAATTGGGCACTTTTCCTCCCAATGACATCAATGGTGGGGCACCATTCCTTCCACTAACACCAATGATGGGGCACTATTCCTCCTCCTGCTGAACACAAGCACTATGGAATTTTCTACCCCCACTGATGTTAAGCCATTTTCTACTCTCACTGACCATGGTCTGGCCCCCTAAAGTTTAAAGGACAGTAAACAATCCATTTGTTTAGAAAGTTTAGAGAACCCTGTTCTTTGCTCCAGTATTATTAACAACATGCTGGGGCACTGTTCCAATACATTCTATAGGGTGCAAGCATATAAACTGGCATTTCTACCTCCTGTTTGCAGGATTTCCAAGGTATAGAGCTGGGATAGTGTGCATTTTAAAATAACCTCTGCCCATACATGCATCTTTTCACCATAATTATGGCTATTTTTTTCCCAAATACTGTTCTAGGTCATCATCATTTCCTAAAGCTAGGTTATTAATAACCTTATTCTTTTTACCAACCCTAATTTCATATATTTGCTATCACAACATTCCCTTCCTTCATTTAAAACACTTTCACTTGAATTTTTTTAGGTGCCTTAGACTTCAAGCAGGATCTAACCTTCAGTACAAGTTTTTCTGGTCAGTGTCACAGAAAAATATGTATGCTTGGATTGCCTGTCTAGCTCATCTTAACGCATGCAATGCTATTACTAGCACTAGCACAAAGATTTTAGAAGTGACACTTTCCTTAGAAAACTATGAGGCCCTCCATTACAGGCCCTCTTTTGAAAATGTTACTTCCCTGGCTATGTCTAGCTTTAATGCATGCTTGTTCTGGGTCAAACCTTCAGAAAGCAGTGAAGCCAAACCAGTAGTATGACAACCGGGGAATTAACATTCCCAAAGGAGAGGTCAACATTGGCATCTGCAGTACTTTGCTTTACTCATGACAGAGCCCTTGTCTGAATAGTCTTTTTCTTCTCCCTGAAAACAGTAGGCTATAGGAGTGTCTGCTGCACCATTAAATTGATGTCTGATTCAGTTGAAACAGGCTTCATTTGGCAACAAATATCACCCTCTGAACAGAATGTAATTGACAGTATGTCCATCTCTCCCAGCTCAACAGTTCTCTCACAACTAACTCCATTCTGTCATTTTACCTCTCAGAAGGAACCACGTGTCATTAACTTGAATTAAAATCATCTCCATTTCCACAGTGCATATCCACATAACTCCAAATTAGAATCATATGTTTTTGTACCTGCAGGTATATCGTTCTTTTCCTTTTCGAAGGATATTTTCTGGAAGGGCAGATGCTGAGGTTCGAAAGTTAAACATGGAAGGAACAGATTGAATAAGCTCACTAGCCTCAGGTTTAAGGACATTAAAATTCTCTAGCTTTTCCGCCATGTTTTCTATTGCTGACATCTGCAAGTAATAACAAAAGCATAGTGTTAAGCTTTAGGATAGTACTTTTTAAATATGGTTATTGGCTTTTTCAACACAATAAAACTTATTAAAGATTCTAAACTGATAAAACATAAAATCTTGTTATCTTGTTAAAATAAAGTCTATTCACTATAGTAATGGGCCTTATCCAATCAGCAGCCATCATTTGTGAAAGCAATCAGCAGCCATCTTTCATGTATCTGTCTACTAAATATTTCAGGGGATGTTCTTGTGAAGCAACATCCTGTGAGTAGGCCATAGTAGAAGTAGTCACTCACTGATTTTTTCTTGGCAAACTTGTTTGCTAGCACTAGTTCTGGAACTATTATTCAGAGTAAGGCTATGACTGCTTCCACGAAAGCCTAATCATGCAGGTGTTTTGCTTTATAACAGAATTCCTATTAGAGAGATGAAATCTGAATGAGTGCTATACGTTGTACTTCATTAATAATTATTGTTCTTTGCATTACTTTGAACTAAAGTAAAATATGATAAAACTAGAACAATTTGTGCACTAGTAGGACATTACAATACTATATTACATACAATCTTCAAAAGCTCACCACCAAATCTAATAAGTCTAGGTTATGACTCACACAGTAAAAATACTATGCACATTTCTACAGTATAATGTAACATTATATTTAAATCCAAAGTCAATAAAAAAACTTGAAAAGAAATTCAGGCACCCAATTAAGTTTTTGCTTGCATGTTAGCATTTATTTCAGTGTATTCTTGATAAGATATATTTTATGTTTAACAACCATTTATATAACCGTGCGGATGCCAGCTCATTTTCTTTCCACACAGGTGGTCTGTTCAATAACAGATGTATCCCAAAATACCATTAACAAGACAAAAAAATTCCATCTGCTTGGCCATGTTCATAAAATCCTATATAATGATAGATTCCATATTGAAAAAAGGATTTACAGTATAGGCTCTTTTCTCATTGTAAACCATTAGTTTAAAACAGTATATGAGCCCAAGCAGAAGTACACTGAAAATTACCAGAAAACATTCACTGGAAGCTTTAATAAAGTATCATAAAACTCCATTTTGCAAACACTAATATTTCTGTATACGTAAACAATGAACTTCTTTTTACTCCCCTTTGGTCTGTTAAATATACAATTGAAAGTGCAAAAAACTGTGATCTTGTAAAAAATGCAGTGCTGTCCTGTGTCATATTGACTGTCTGTGTTATCTCAAAGAGTTTATTTAGCGCCTATAATCAGTGCCTATAATTTAGAAATTAATACAGTGAGAGTTGTGTTTAGCAAAAGAAAGTGGCCAGAGCTGACACCACTTAGTCCACAAAAATACTGTGTGATATCAGCCCACAATAGGGAACTCGTGAGTCATTAAAGGGATAAAACATGGTCAGATGTGCATGAAAATGAAAGATTGCCCAAGGGACTTTGCGAGTCACATTTTATTAGAGAGAAAGCATGTTAAAAACATTTCAAAAATCAACATACAAAACATATAAAGCTTATAGTGTATATACAAATAAAATTATAAAAGATCTAAATGATCCGCATGTTACATGATGACATAAAACAAGCTCTCTGCACAAAATATCGACACTGCTTCAGGAGACAACAAAGCTTGTAGATATACCATATGGAATGGTGTCTAGAAAGAGAGACCAGGTTGTTGTTTAAGAAAAATTAAAAATGTTTTTTCTTTTTGTATCTTTGCTACAGTGTCTATTCTCAGACGTATCCATCAGTACCTCGGACTGTATCCCTCTAGCGGGCAGATCCATACCCTATCACAGCTCCTGGCCAGGAAGGTCTCTGCTGGGTGGTTGTCTTCTAGTTGCCATCTATACATTTGGCAGGATTTACAGCCTCTTATTTGATCTATATCAGTTTTTGATTGGCTTGGTGGTAAGTTTTCATGTTACAATTTTTTTTATTAATTAACGACCTGGTCTCCCTTTCTAGACACCATTCCATATGATATATCTACAAGCTCTGTTATCTCCTGAAGAAGTGAACGATGCTTTGTGAAACGCATCAAGATTTTGTGCAAAGAGCTTGTTTTATGTTATCATGTAACATACAGATCATGCAGATCTTGTATAATTTTATTTGTATATACACTGTAAGCTTTATGTGTTTTCTACATTAATTTTGTGAATGTTTTTAACATGCCTGATAAAATGTGCCTCACAAAGTCCCTTGGGCAATCTTTCATTTTCATTATAACGGTATTGTGAGTCACACTTTAACCACATTCACTACAGCCTCTCATATTTGTTGTCATGGTCAGATGTGCATGTTTTGAAGAGCTGTACTACATTTTTTTTTTTTTTTGCCTTGACACATGCCTTGAGAAATGGCATGCAGAGTCTGTTCTAATTATCAGCCTTGTTTAGCAATCGTACTTCCTCTGCGGAGGTGCCAAGTGCTAGCTGCTAGGATAGAGAAAGGCAAGACAAGAAGCACTCTATAGGAATCTATTCAACGTGGGGAAAGTCTTTTGCCCCAAAAGCTAATGAACAGTTGGCTGCTATTTCCATCTGCTGTGACATTAATGTAACCCAGTTTAATACAAATGTTTTCTGTAAACAGAGAAAAAAAATAGCCAGGCCTCAAGTGCCATTGCTAGACAAGGTTCTGCTACTACTCCTAATGTTGTACTTACACCTTTGGGAAAGCTGAACCAGCTTAGAGAACTGCAGATCTTTCACTATATCTTCTGGCAATGCCTTGGGTTTTATCCTGTTTTTATGTGTAATATTCTGTTTTTTCCTGTGACATTCAGCCTTGCCCTGCCATTCCATGCTTAGAGCTTTTAATGGTAGTTACAAATTGCAGCATACAGAATACCATTCCCAATTTGCTGTGTGTCTTTCAAACACAGAAAGGGGGAAAAAATCTCCAAGGGAAGTCAAGATGCATTTACTTGTCATACAGCAAATATAACAGGCCTGGGATGCAGCGAGGGTTGCAGGCTCACATAGGTTTGATTCATAATCATGCCGCTGCTAATACATTCTCCACAGATGCTTATGGACAGCACATTTGTCAACATGAAGGATCTTGACACCTACTGATCATAAGGCAGACAGCTCTGTAATGTTACTGCTGATCTCATAGCAGGTAATTCCATCCCAGCAGAGCAATGCTATTATCTAACCCAAGCATCTGAAGAATTAGCATTTTCAGCTTTTTTATCCTTCTATTTTTTTATTTATTAAAAATCAATTTTTTATCACACACATTCCGAATTCCAGAGCTTATAATCTAGTCTGACTGCTCTGAGTAAGAAATCAATTCAGTATTTGGATAGGTATAATGGGAAAATGTTTTGTGAATGAAAAATGACCTTTGCCCTTTAGGCTGATTAGCAATGACGAAAAAAGCCAACGGGTTACGACAGCACATATTATGGTTAGGAATAATAAGTACTTCACTAAAGATAATAAATATCTTTTATTTATATCCATTTAATACTCTACTCAGTTTCATTATCTAGAGGTATTAAATCACTTGACATTTTTGTGCTCTGAGTGATTCTAAAATCATAGCCCATTTACATGGGAAATAGCTCACAAAGCCCATTACAGTAATATCTATTGATAGCTGCAAGCCATGTTCAGGGCTGGTTTTATTTTCAATTACTAACATTACATATAAAGAGCTTCATAAGATCTGGCTCTAGTCTTGCCAGCACAATGCTGACCTCACATGTGCCTATGTAATATACACAGAGGCAATGCAATCTTTGAGTGTAATTATTAGAATGAGCCGCTTTGCCTTTCGAAATGTTATGGAATTCTTCCAGGCGGCTAGAAGAGGCTTGCCAATGATAAGTTGTAAGAGTTAATTTTCAAACATGCCCAGGGATTGTAACCACTTCCTGAGAAGCTTTGGACATTAAAATTAAATCAGCATTTTAAAACAAATTCCTCTACAACGAAGGGTGTTATGTTACAAATTATATGGATAATATATTCCAATCAATATCAACCACTTAGGCAAATTACAAGACATGGCTGTGTGTATATGACCACAGACATAAAGTTTTAATTGTGTATGTGTGTGAGTATATATATATATATATATATATATATATATATATATACACATATATATGCACACGCTCATAGATACATGTAAATGTACGAGTTCTGTATCTAATTATCTGCTGAAACAGAGTACAGCATTCTTTTCAATCTTCTGCACTATTGAGATAAACAATCTGGATTCACTAACCACATGCTGTAACTTCAGTCAGTGTGATCCCTGACTCTTAACATGTATTGAGACATACAGGTCAAGCTAGGTTTTTGTTATGTGGCCTCTGGATTTGTTACTGTAACAGAAATGTGTAGGAAAATGTCCAGCTTAGTATAAAATTATAGTCACATTTCCCATCTGTCTTTTCTCTATGGCTGACCATACACGGGCCTCGGGTAAAATTTAAAGAATGCCTATAGCCAAGACTTTTTACTAGTTTGGTATAGAGTGGGGGAAGGTTAGAACCCCTAGGGCCAAGGACCCCAAAAGAGATTCTTCCCCTCACTTGCTGTCTTGGTGACACCTTTTTTAACTAAACAGGAAGTGAGGGAAAATCATCAACAGGGAAACCAACAACTATAAAACTTTAACCGGTGTTCTATTCCTTTCCCGCTTCATCCAAAACTAGAAAAAAATTATTTGGCTATATATACAATTTCTACCATTAGTAGGACTGTGTTTATAGGTGGCAGAAGCAAAGAGATGACTTTTTCTGATATCATTTTTGTCTACACTTATCAGAAGAAATTCACATTTCATACAAAATTTGTTTACACAATATAACAATATTTTTTGAATATTTTTTATTAAAATACATTATTAAAAAGTGGGAGTAAACTCCCTTTTTTGTTTTGTATATACAGCTAAGCCTATAATAAGGCTTACCTGAAGGTACCATAAATATCTCCTAAATGTGCACTGTTTAGGAGATATTTACATGTGAAGCAGCCGGAGAAGTCACTGGTGCATGTGTACTGCATTCTCAATGGACGGCAATGCATCTATTGAGAGAGCTGTGCCACAGCCGTGACTTCCGCACACATGCTGCTTGGCCAGAGCTGGCGAACCCAGAATGAAGACTGGGTAAAGATGGATTTCCTGTCAGCAGGGACAGGGTGCTGCTGGAGGGATCCGTTTCACAGGTACATCTCTCATAATGTGCTAGTATGTGGAACATACTAGCACATTGTGACATTGTCCTGCAGTGGGGACATTTTTTTTTTTTTTTCTTTCAAATGCGGTTTACTATTGCTTTAAGATGATCTTAAAAGAAAAACAGGAACACATTTTGCTATTGTTATGTGATTCAAATGATTTTAAGGTAAATGACAATTATTTCCAAATCTTGCACTTTGAGTGGTGGTAGATATTTTTGCCCTGTGTATTAAAAATACCATTCAGCTAATAAATATCTCTCATTAGAAAATTATTTTCACACTTGTCTCCCATAATATCTGTTGAAATGCTATTTATATTAATTTGATATCTATTGAGTATTAAGTTAATCTTCCAAAAATCAGCCTGTCAATGCTCAGCATTACCCTTAAAACACAGCTGTTATCCACCCCAGTAGCAAGCATCTTAAAGAAGAACTTCACCTGGGTATAGGAAAATTAAAAGTCCTCATCTAGAAGTACTTTAGCTGCTGACTCTTAAGAAATACATACTTATCAGCCCATGAAGTCCAGCCTGTCTTCCAAGCAGCTTTTTAGGGCTTTCCACTTTCTGTATTGCCATTTTGTCTTCAGGAGCTGAGTGTCACTTCCTGAGGACTCATGACCAGCCCCCTACTTCAAATGCACAAGAGGGCGAATTTCTGTGAGATTTGTCCTGTAGCCTCCTGGGATGTGTAATGTTATCTCAAGAGCCTAAAGGGAGTAGAGGGGAGGGGAGGAGAGGGAGCCTGATAAAGGCAATATCCTGCTTTCGTAGGTGACGAAGCAAGAAGAAGGAGTGGGTATCACCAAGAAAAGATACTCATTCCCTGTGATTTTGTTACAGGCTGAGGACAGGAAGATTGTGATGGCAATTTTTATTTTTCAGTGAAATCCTGCTTCAGAGCAACTATATCTGAAAATACCAGTAAATCGTATTTTTATAGTTTTAGAAACTGCATGTTAGATTGCATGTAAAAATCAATAGAACTGATACAATAAATATAAGAGCAATGGGTGGAGAGGCATCTTCCATCCTCTGTAATAACTCCTTCCTCTTTGAAAAGAGGTGGTGCTTTTTTCTTTCCTCTCATATTGTTAATAAATGGAACAGATTCTACCATGTACAGAGGAAACTTTTCAAAATGAAAAAAAATTATGACAGTAACAAGTTTTTCTAAAATCAGACGTCAGTTGACGTTGATTTTAGATAGCTCTAATTATTGCCAAAATGTAGCATCAGGCTGTCTTATTAGGGCAGAACCATTTGTGGTAATTTCCAACTAGGCATATTAGCAAATGTTAATTGGAAGCTACCACCATAATGTTATACAAGAAAAAAGCTGCACCTGGTTTATCTATACCAGTGTTTCTCAGGTTTCCTAAGGTGTACATAAACCCTAAAAATGTATCCTCCTATTTGCTAGCTTAGGTCTGCTAAATGTATAATTGGAAGCATTTTGTTATATCTGTTTAAAAAAAAACTGATGATCAAAACTTTTGAACTGTCCCATGTTCCCTGAAGACACCCTATGTTTTTTCAAAGAGGCTTGAGATATATTGATTTTTTTTCTTTTAATTTTGCCTTGACATATGCTTTATGTGTGTATTGCTTTACAAAGGCCATTGCTTACTAAGTATCCCATGGTGTTCATTCAATTACTTACATGCATACTTTTACCACCAAGTACACTGATTATACATGTTTTTAAACAATCTGTTTTTCTGGGGGACACCCCACTGTGAAACCAAAGTATCTTGCCACCTTAAAGTATATTTTAGTGGAAAATGGTGAACTACATTTTCAGGTTAGGTCTCTATTGGTTATTGAATATCACATGTTGCTCTATACATCAATAAATAACCAAAACATGTCTACATTGGAAATTGGCATCTGTTCTATATTGTCTGTTCTAAAAATTCACTATTGTCCCTGTTTTTACAAATAAATCACTCACAACTGTGGGCAGGAGATAGACTTGTAATACTGTTATATGACTTTAGTATGAAATGAAATCAGTAAAAATAATATTACAACATCTAAAAATGGTTTTAACTGATTTTTCAATAACCAAATTAGATATGTTTATGTTGTCAAAAGAAAAAAATTCTTCAAATGTCTGCCTCACTTTTTATTTATATACATGTATTTGTTGTTATATTTAATCAAAACTCCATCATTAAAATTTGACTACTGCAATGTTTTGGAAAGACTAAAGTTCAACAAAAAGGTCACCTTCTCTCTAAAAGTGATGGATTGTCTGTATGATACTGAGATTATAATATAATTGATAGAGCTTTTCCACTAAGAAGTTACCTAAAATGAACTTTTGAGGAAAATGTAAATATATCAATATCTTTTGAGCAGGAAATAATTGTAGTAGGCGATCACATTCAAAACTATATCCTGCAGACATTTTACTATGTTTAGTTTGGGATACATGTGATATTATGGCATCGCACTGAATACCAAGCACTGTCATCAAACATATTAGCAACATTTATACCTATATACAGGGGCGGACTGACCATTTGGAAACTCGGGCACTGCCCGAGGGCCCAGGGTCAGTAGGGGGACCCATGAGATGCCCTGGTACCTTTTTCATAGGCTTTTTTGAGTTTGGGCAAGGACACAGGGGCCCCATGATCCCCTTTTGCCCGGCGGGCTCCATGAGTTGTCAGTCCGCCCCTGCCTATATCAAATTATACATAGAAACATAGAACAATGATGGCAGAAAAAGTGGTACATTGAGTCTGCCCTGAAGCAGGCCTTCACCAAGAAATAAAAATTGCCCTCATAACATACACGTAATACAGTTAACATTTTTCATACTGGTCACAAAAAAAAAATTACTTACCCACGTTCTTTGATCAGGCATAGGGAACTGTTAAAATGATTAAAAAAAGAAGTGTAAACTTTTAGGCTGGCTAGTCTGAGAAGATCAAATATGGTAATACAAATAATATCAACAAACAGAAATGCAGTATAGTAATATGCTGCAATGTCTGCTCATATTTAATTTTACCGCATTGTCATCAACAAATGTTTACAAAGGTTATTGCAAGGTGATAGCTACAGCCAGTAACCCATAGTTGCTATAATTAGTCCTAAAAATTAAAGATGATTGCCAATTGCTATTGGCTGCCGATAGTTGCTGCACTTTGCACATTGATCTTTGCATTATTTATTGAGTCTGTGTATTTTTTCTAGAGGAAATTTCAAAAACTCTGAATGCCCAGTCTTTGCAGCAGTGGGTTCCATAAATCTGTTTCTAAAATCGACTATGCTTTAAAAAACTGATCCAAGGATACTGTTTGGAACTCATGCACCATTAAGAATAACTAAGATGTGTAAGAAATTAATTATCTGCTATAGTTAAAATCAGACTGATTTGCTGTTTTGCAATTGTTTTTAAGATTTTGATATGTGGCTTTGACTAGTTAGTATAACTATACTGTATATCTCTGCTACTTTGTTCAAACTAGTTTTCATAATTGTCAAAATACAACACTTAAAATATTATCTGAGCAGATCTGAAATACACCGTATCCAAATTTATTATTATAGTGTAGAGCTAGTAATTGTTTTTCTAAGATTAGTAAAAGAAATGGAAATAAATGTAAAAACGATGCCACAGTAGGACAAACAACACAGCTATGCAATAATACAAAATTTCAGTTTCTGAAATATTTTTGGAGTTTACACACCATGGATTCTTATGAGAAAACTGGCATTAATGCAAGTGCCTAAAGATGGCAGTGTTTACGATACTGAAATATAGACCAAAGCTAACACTTCAAATACATCCAGAATACATTTTTGAGGTTAGTGTAGGAATCTTGAGACACACAATAATATTAGGCGGTCCCTTCCTTGCAAATGAGTGCATACTTGGATGTGGACCAAATGCACTTTTAAAACTGTCCTTGCAAAAGTCTTCCAATATCACACTATTAGGTTAATACATTTTCTCCTGGCAAACAAGCCCGGCTGATGCATTTACTCCTTAGTGGAGAAAGGCCTCTTTGTTGAGAAGAGTGAGTGCACCTGTCTGGAGATGTCAATACATTATACTAATTAGAGAGAAGCTGTAAGTCACTTTCTACGTAATTCATAGCCTCCGCAGTTGTGTCTTGTGCATCCATAAAGGTAACATTTGCTGGAGATCCATTGCTGATTCAAGCAGGTCATGTTTCAAAACAATCTCATCTATTTTGAGCTCATTAACCATTCTATACACATCATGATAAAAAGTTTAACAGTTAAGTTGTCTAATCTTATAGGAGAAATAAGTCATTTTAAAATAAATAAGATAAATAGATATTTGATCAATTATTAAAGAAAGGGCTGTCATAGGTTTATTATGCCTAATATATAATGGTTTGTCAAATAGGATGTGTCAAATACTGTAGCTGCAACTTCCTCTGCAATACAGAGCTTTGAGTAAAGCTAGTGTCATGTAAGTAATTTGAGATAATTGCCCCATTCTGGTAACAGCTTCACCAACCAATATGTATTGGTTACAGTGATCACTTTCATTTTACAGGCCAGCTAGGTACAACCTAATGTGCTTGGGATGACTTTTATATAAGCTATCTCTAAAACAGTGGCAAATAGAAAATTGGTGATCACATAAAATGGCTAAATGATGCTTAAGACTACATCATAAATGAAGCTGAACACCTCTAATATTGGCAAATATTTAATATTTTAAAGCTATTAATGCACCAAATACATCTATTGATATTCATGCTCAAGTTATAAAAGTTGAAAAATAAGTACCGTACTGCAGCAGTGCTTCTTTCCATTATGCTGCTTTATATGCATTCCTGAATGTTCATTTTGTACATACCTGTGGATGGAATAAGAATCCAGGAGTAGGCCTTAAATATTTTTCTTTTAGAACTTCAAGAGGATCTAATAATTTCCTTTTTTCTACCCTAAAACAAGAGATAAACTTTAAAAAGTGGGGCTAGTACTAGTTTAAACATATGCCTGATTTATTTAACAACACTTAAATATTTTTTCCATTAAAGATAATACATTAAGATATTTAAGATCTAAAGTATAGTATGCAGTATAAAGGTCAGTTGAGAAAGGCTGCATTGACCATTTCTCTTGATAGCTTACTGTTATATCCTCTGATGGAACTTAATTGTAAAACTGTTTTCTAGCATTAAAACTATATCTCAATGCTGGCTAAACACATATTCTACTTTAAAAAAAAACAACATACCAAGTTGGATAGCCATCAGTGTAAATTCCTGACAAATAGGTTTACTGAACTCTAATGAAATTATTGAATTTGTACAAAGTATTTGAATATTTCTCCAGTATTTTATTTTAAGTATTTTAAAATTGCCCAACTTATTTTGAAAAAAAACCATGACTACCTTTAGAATATGACTATGAATAATTTGAGTGTATGTCACTCAAAGGTATTTGAATTTAAAATAATTAAAGTTTATTTTATAGCTTTTTCTACTTTTTTTTTACAGATTGCCCCATTGTATTCATTTATATACATGTATTCATTTACATTTGTTCATGTATTCATTTATTGAGCCACACTTAATAAAATTCTGAATTCTATCTACAGGTACCTATATAGCTTTGTCAATTTACACAGCACTTTACATATATACTAACTCACATTTATACATACACATACTAGGGCCAATTTAGAGAGGAGCCAGTTAACCTACCAGCATGTCTTTGGGGTGAGGGAGGAAACCAGGGTACTTGTAAGAAATCTGTGCAGGCACAGGGAGAACATGCAAACTCCAGGTAGGCGGTGCCGTGGTTGGGATTCAAACCAACAACCCTTGTGCTGCTGGGCGAAAGTGCTAACCATTTAGCCACTGTGCGGCCCTATTGGTTCAACTGATCTTAAAGTCAAGGTTGGCACTGCAGTTTCTGCAATCAATACCATTTCTGGTTTCACAAAGATTACTACCTCATTTGCTGGGAAAAATCACTATTTTTATGTATTCAGTACCCATACCATGCAAGCAAGATAACATCAGTGATGTGGTACAAATGTGTTATGCCATTTTACAGATCATATTGTATATGCATTCTTTATAAGACATAGATATTTGGTACTGGGACTATAACTATAACTATGAACTATAGGTAATTGTCAATATCGTGTGTACTACTGGTATGTAACTATATTGCTCCTTAGTGTTAACAAACAAGAGAATGTTTTAGAAAAAAAATGGCTTTTTTATATAGAGAGATTATTTTGTTTACATCTACCTGTAGATAGGATCCATGAAGAAAGGTGCAGGTCTGGCATGTTGCAAACAGTGATCAGAATGTTTTGATTGAGCTACATCAAAATCTTTTTTGTCTCCAAATACATGGTTCTTTCTGGATGGGTCTGCTTGTTTTGTTGGCACAGCTCGACTTCTACTTCCCATACTCAAGTCCAAAGGCTGATCAGGACTGGAAGAAACTGGGGTTAGTGGCTTTGAGGGCACATTTGGTACCGTCTTTTCCTCCTTACGCTTCACGGTAAGATCAAAAGGAGACTCTGCATTACCCTTTTGCACTTTCTTTATTTCTTTTGGGGACTCTGGTTCCACTTTAAGAGGTGTGGGTCTTACATCTCTCTCTGGAAATGGGTATACGGATTGGGAAAATGCTGGAAAAAAAGGAAGCGGAAACATTGATGGGTAAGGTATTGATCCACCCTTTTTATCTGGTAGGCCTACAAGTCCTGTTGATCCAAAATACTTTTCAGCTATAGAGGCAATAGCTTTTATGGAGTCATTCACAGCTCCAGACACAGCAGTCTGTTCCTCTAAACATGGTGAGAAAACAGAATGACTGTTGTATTCTCTCTTGCTGTTTAACGCAGCAAGATTCTGCAGTGGGCTCAGTTTCTCTTTATATATTTTGCCATTTTCTTTGATTTTTTCCTTGTCACTTTCAACATCACTTTCAAGATCAGAGCCGGAAGTGGTCTCCAAGTCACTGCCACTTGGAGTGCTGACATCATCAAGGTCACTGCTTTCTGATTGGTCGCTAGTTTTGTCATGCGGCCGTTGCTCAGCATTATTGTCTGCTAAGTATTCTGTGGATTTTGAATCACACAGAGATGGGTGCTTACTCAGTGCTTTCAAAATGTCCTGTGTTGCCGGCAAGATCTGAGGTCTGTTCATATGGGGACTCTTGTTTATCTGGTCAACACTGGGAAGTCCTTTAATGGGGGAGCTGGCAGGGATTAGAGGAGGCCTATGATATAGACCTGAGGGGAAAAGACCAGGGAAACCAAAAGAGAATCCAGGAGCTGTAGGAAATGTAAGGCCAGCAGTATGCCGGCTAGCACCAAAGTAATCAGCAAGCCCTGTGTTTGCATGGTTCATATTGATCATAGAAGCCTTATCCAAAGATGGAGCCCCTGGAAGTGAAATTCCTTGACCAAATAACCCTCCAGCAGCAAAGTGATTCTTCCCTTCACAAAATCGTCTGTGCTTATTAAGTGATGATGTCGTGCTGAACATTTGTCCACAGTCTTTGCATTTGATTTGATTTGAGTCCTGCAGTCCGCATGCATACGTTTGTGTCGGCAAAGATTTGAAAACTGAGTGTAAGACTTATGGCACACTTCACCTGTTAAAAAAAAAATAAAAAAAATCAACAATTTAACTGCTATGTGCTTTTATAATTAGATTTTTTTCTAGACTAAAATGGAGACTGATATAGAACACAATTAGTAGAATGGTCCTAGAATAAATAACATAGGCCAGACTCTGAACCAGGTCAACTGCTTTCTAAAAAGGGGTAACTCTGAAAGTTGCGAACAGATAATGTATTACAGAACAATCACAATTAGTGTTACACTGATTGATGAATATTATATTTCAGAAACTGACAGGTCTGTTTAGAGCACCCATAGACACATTTTGATTGTTTGCAAAGAGGTGATCTAACTCATTTAATGAATTTTTATCACCACATGTACTGTTTAGAACCCATTAGGCTCCATGTACATGGGACACTTCTGAACACTGGAAACTGACTGCTGTAAAACGTAGGTTTAAAAACATCTGTTTAGCTGTTTGCATATCGCGTTTATGCAGATTTATGAGTGTTTGCGTTTAGAAGCGTTTTTTAAAGATAACCTCAGGAGATCTTCCAAAATGCCCAGAATGCACTGGAAAACAGTTAAAATTAACTATTTCAGACATTTTGAGAGACATAGAGAGAGCAGGAGCAGAGAGAGCAGTATTTGTTGAGATATGCTGTCAAATTATGGTGTACCAGGTCCATTTGAGTATTGGGAAAACACTTTGCATGCATTTTTAATGATGAAAAAAGGCTCTGGACAGCATCTGGAAATGGAAGAAGAACTAAAAAAATTGTCCAAATGCAAACGCTTATAAATGCGGTTAGCCGCGTTTACATGCATTTACACGCGTTTGCAAGCCTTTGGTGTTTGAAACTTTGATAAAATCTACCCATGAATGAAAGTTTGGTGTGTTCAAAAAAAACAACTGTAAACTCAACTGCCTGTAAACGACTGTAAACGACATAGTGTACATGGACACATAGGAAAACATTAGGGACAGTTCAGGGGCTGCTGAAAAAAATGCTGAACAGCTCCTAAACGTGAGTTTATCAGCTGCAGTGTACATGGAGCCTTACCTAAACCTACATACTTACAACACGGATAAAAGCAAGCACGGTTATAAACATTTACAGCATTCCTGATAATTAGCAAAAAAAGATAAACATAGAAAGAGCCAACTTTACTGGTGCAACCTCTTAATGAAACAAACAAAACACTTGTAAAAAAACAATTGATTGTTTATTACATATAAACATCACTTGGAACAAGCTTACCTCTACAAATCCAGGAGCATTGGATAACATTTTGGAGATGGGGTGTTTGACTTTTGTGCCTAAACTGTGTTTCCCAGGATTATTAACTATTTTTCCAGTTTGCACCACATATTTTAGTTGATTGTTAAACTGGTTTGAATATGCTGATAATATAAAAAAAACTATCTCTTTGCATACCCTTAGGCAGGTAATAGATGATGAGATTTTGCAGGAAAGAAAACCACTAAATTCCCCCATCAACACTGTCAGTGTTAATAGGGGAATGCATCCCACTGAGCTATTCTGTTCCCCGGGCAGGAGGGAGTGGGGAGCTGTCTCTGCCTGGAGAACACAGTGATTATTGCTAGCAGCTATAATTGCATGTAAAAACCCTACAGGCTGGTTGTGCCCAAGTCGTACGACAATCAATTTGGGTACAGTCAGCTTGCCAATAGATGGTTCCAATCTCTGCCGATCCCCGCTGAACTGGTCAAGATTCAAACCTATGGCCAACTTAAGTCTAAATATCTGATATTTAAAGGGTTTAATTTACTAAAGGTGTAGAGGTGTAGAAGTTCCACTTAGCTCAGTAAAGACAGTGAGGAGTTGTACACTTTGATTAGCATTTCAGAATATTGTATGCTACAAAGTGAAAAGAGAAGCAGTCTCTTCTTGTCTAGTAAATTAACTCTAGAACATCCCATCATTCAGCCACCAGAGACAGAGGGGGAGATTTACTAAAACTGGAGCACACAGAATCCGGTGCATATGTGCATGGTAGCAGGTCAGCTTCTAACTTCAGCTTGTTCAATTAAGCTTTAACAATAAAACCTGGAAGCTGATTGGTTTCTATGCAGAGCAGCACCAGATTTTATATGCTCCAGTTTTAGTTTTTTGTTCATTTATAAAAGTGTTCATTTGAAAAGAGAATTATAGTAAATAAGGTGATCCTGTATTAATTTTGAATACCCAATAAGACGTAAGAGAAATAAAAAAAAAAAAAGATTTTTGACAGCACATAATTGCAAAGAGAATGTTAGTGAGTAGAGTGATCCTGTGTTCACTTTAAATACCCAATAATGTGCCAAAGGAATAAAAAAAAAAGATTTCTTTTTATAGCATATGATTGATTTGTTGAAGTGAATACAGATTCATTCTATTTATAAAGGTGAACATTTGCTATTATTTTAAAAATCAACCCCCATACATCAAAAGCAAAAATAGTATTCCATTACACTAGCAGAAAACACAGATAAAATGTGAAGTACTACAGGGTGGCATCAATGTCATATATATATAGGCTAAAATGGTTGTAAAGGCTCAAGGTTTTTTACCTTCATGCATTTTATGCATGTGTGCAGCAGCCCCCCCCCCCCCCAGCCCCCCTAACACTTACCTCAGCCCCATCACGATCCAGCGAAGTGCATGAGAGCCTCAGCACTCAGGACTTTCCTTCATCATTGGCTAAGACAGCAGCAGGAGCCATTGGCTTCCGCTGCTGTCAATCACAGCCAGTGAGCCAATGAGGAGAGAGAGTGGGCATGGCCAAGTTGTGGCTCTGTGTGTGAATGGACACACAGAGCAGCGGCTCAGGACCGAGCCTGCTTGGGTTTATCCATAATAAACTGCTTATTCTGGGGGTACTCAGTAGGACGGAGGGGCCAAGACGACAGGCAGGGGGTCCCGAGAAGAGAAGGATCGAGGTTGCTCTTTGCAAAATCGTTGCACAGTATGATATGTTTTTTTATTTTTAAAAAATGCCTTTAATATCACTTTAAACGACACCTAGATAACACTAACTCTTTTAGGGCAAACTGTGAAGCACTATAATATCACAGAGACCTATGAATACCAAATGCATTGCATTACTTTGACAATGCTTTTTCTTCTAATATAAAGAATTCTAAAGGAAAATTATCTTGCTACCCATAGTAAATACATTTTCAAATTATTTACTATTTCAAATTAGAAATTAATACAAAATACTGATTGGTTGTTATGGGGGGAAAAAAAGTCAGTTTCCCTTAAAACAATGCAATGATCACACACAGTTTTTACTCTTTCTGTAAATCTCACTACATCACATTTTAATGTATTGCAATGTGTACTCTTTCTTACTGTATTTTGATATTTACATTTTTAACGAGCTACCTTGAGGTAGCCATATTTATAAGAATTATGTATAAAAATGACCATTAAGAACTTCTAACAGTATGATTTAATAGTGACTATTCACAGCATTCAAAGACAGTGGTAGGTGTCATTTACAGGGAGTGTTGCTTGTACCTGCAGAGGATGTATTACAGATCACAATGTTCTCATCATTCACACATCAAAGACATATAACTATAAACAGTGAGCATTCCGAGACATTTGTATGAGTCCTTTTGCAGGGTTAGAGACCGGCTGACCAAACTGACAATAGCTCTATTTTAAGCATGTGAAGGAAACCAAATTGAATGTATCTCATCCTGCATTGCTGGTTCCCATGAACTGTAATCACGTCCCTGACTTCCACTCACACCAGGGCTAACCTTCCAGCACTTGGAAAACCCTTGTCCTTGACAATCCAGAGCATTTGCTGTCATCTTTCAAATATTTACCCTGGCATCACCTCATATTATAAATAGAGCATCACAATAAGAATACAAAGAATTACAGCAACATCTGCACTTCCAATTTACCTTCACCCAAAATCTGCCTGTAAATTCCACAAATCATAATTAAAAGAGCAATTGTCATTTCTGCTCATCTCTGATTTTTAAAGTGTTACTAAACCCACAACAGTAAAATCAGTCTGTGTATGCAGTAAAGCATGTTTGTTATACTCACTGTGGAAGCTAAGGGGTTAATCCTCTGCATTGTGTAAAAAGGCCGTTTGATCCTTTCTTCTCTGTTCCTCCCGTTTTTCAACAGACCACCTCTTATCTCCAGACTGAACCGTAGGGCATGTACATGCTCAGTTTGGTGTGTATTGCTAGAAAGGTTTTTTTTTTTTCTTGGCAGAGCATGTGATTAGCAAAGGGCCAATCAGCACTGTCCAGACAGAGGTCAGGGAATTTCCATCCTCCTAGAGCAGAAAGAAAACTCTTCCTACAAGCTTTAGCTAGTGCTGGGCTGGAAACAGATAGAAGTCACAAGATTGCTCTAACTGCTGCTGAGAAAAGGTATTTAGCAGTTTATATTTACTAAAATAATTGCATTTCCATGTTGTGTGTACTGTGGGAGACCAAATATAGCGAATGCGGGGTCCTGGGTTTAGTAACACTTTAAGAACTGGCTGACTAGCTGAATCAATAGAATTTGGGATCATCCTAGTTCATGCACTGCAGAGTAAATTATTGTTCCTGACGTTAGGGATAAAACACATTCATTTCTTTTCACATGTAGGGTATTTATTTTACATTTATACTCATATTCAGTCCTATTATAGGGAACAAAAAATGTTGTAAAGGCATTTATTGGACCCACCTTCATTTTAAAATGATCACTTCTTAGAAGTCTACTTTGTTCATTGACTAATGAGACAATACAAGAAAAAGCCTTAATGGTTACTTGCTAATGACAGAACAGTAAAAATGCTATTATACTAATTAAGAAGATTAAATCCACAGAGAGTGAAGGGACAGGCAATGTATTATATTCCTTTGTGGTGATTGGCCTCACACATTGCAGAAGA